CATCCATCCATCCACCCACCCATCCATCCATCCACCCATCCATCCACCCATCCATCCATCCATCCATCCATCCATCCATCCATCCACCCACCCACCCATCCATCCATCCACCTACCCACCCACCTATCCATCCATCCATCCATCCATCCACCCACCCACCCACCCACCCATCCATCCATCCATCCATCCACCCATCCATCCACCCATCCATCCATCCATCCATCCATCCATCCATCCACCCACCCATCCATCCATCCACCTATCCATCCATCCATCCATCCACTCATCCATCCATCCATCCATCTATCCATCCATCCAGTGTTTTGTCCACCTATCCCTCATCCATCTGTCCATCCACCCATCCACCCCCTCGTCCATCCCACCCCAGAGAACAAGCCCCGCCTGTGCTGGGTTGCAGTGGACCGGGAGCGCCCCTCTTTCCGGATCTCACCTTTGTGGACCCCGTTCCAGCCTCCGAGCCTGACTCCGCCGTCCTGCACCTCCACGTGTCCACCGTTGTCCGAGGTGAAGTAGACCAAGGTGCAGTTGGTCAGCCGCTCCTGCTCCAGCGCCTGCAGGATCTTCCCTGGAGAGAACCCGGTGGACACAGGGTTACCTGGCAGGTGCATGGCAGCCATTGCTCGTCCAGTTTTGGGTCCATTCAGGACATGGAGGTGGCCAGGATGGCACAGGTAAAGACCCTGAGGACAGAGGATCCCGAGCTGCTGGGAAAGCGGCCGGGGGGACTCGGAGGGAATCCGTGGCCACGTGGCTTTACTCTGATAAATTCTTAATGTCAGTATTCACCATATATTTTGAGTGTATGTCATAGAATACACTAATGACATACATTTCTCATGTGTGCATTACACGCCGCAATTTAATTGAGATAGTATTTGGTATTATATACGATCGCACAGTCAATCACAGTGTAACACCTTAGCACATCATGGACCATACAGCGTCTGTTTGCCATGGCACATGGGATGTAATAACATATAATTGTATATATTAGTCAGTATCTATATATTTAGGTTGATTTATAGTATGACATACTTTATACTGTAATGAAGTTATATGACTGTGTTAATTACACATTTGCAATGTATGTTGTATTCTTTTACATTAAAGCATAGTGGATTATACACTAGAATGTAGAGTACAGTAGACCAAAGCGTGTAATTCTCACCGGACCGTCCAGCTGTGCCGTGCTAGACCTGAGCTGTGACCTCAGTAACCGTGACCAGCATCTGCAAAGACCCATACGACGCGTGCACAATACGTGATTTTCACAGGGAAATACCAGACTCTTACACACGTCTGCAATTACCTGTGTATGCGTGGCGTGTTTGCAAGGTGATAGATCAGTGTGACACAGTTCCAGGAAACGCACGTAACGCAGTGTGTTACATGTCAGAAAAGTGCATTTGAATGTAATAAAATGCATTGCAATACATTATATGATTCCATATGAGATGTAAGTGTAATACATAGTGTTATATATACTATATAACTGTGTTACAAACCGTGTGGATTTGAAATATGAAATAACTCATGTGTGATCTTATTCTATAAATTAATAATAATATATAACACCTTATTACAGCTTATATAATATTGCATCTCTGTATTTTTATATAATATGTACAAAAATGTGATATGATGTATTATTTGCATTGTTTTATGTATTGAGGAATATTAATAAAATATTTATGTATTTAAGAATATTAATAAAATATTTATGTATTTAAGAATATTAATAAAATATAATTATTACAAAAAGTGTACTATGTTCTGGATAGAGGGCTGGAGAGCCAATACCTCATCAATATTTATATGGGCAGCTTGATGTGGTTTCTATACTATTAGCATTTTAATAATACAGTATTAATTATGTGATTAATTAGTTATGTGATTAATATAGTATTATTAACAGAATAGTTAATATTCCTTTATGTTATTTTGGTGTGTGTATTTATTTTGTATTTATAAGTAATATATTCATTTTGTATTGATCTGTTATTCATATGTAATAATATGTTATTTTTCATATAAATGTTTGTTTTGTACAAATACATGAGCAAACGATGTATTTTCAAATATTACGTAAGTAGACGTTTGCATAGAAGAATCATACATTAAGAAGTATCCTGTAAGTATGTTATACTAGAGTGACATATTCTTCACATAGACATATTGTTTGTCATGTAATTATATTGTATAGCATATCACTGTATTAGTGACATTAATACTATATAAATATATCAAAAATATATTATACTAGTATAGATTTCCATGATTCTTAATATATGATTCTTAATAAATATATTTTCTATATCAATATCTTTTGCTTATACAGGTATATTGTTGGTTGTACTGTATATTAACATTAATATAATATAGATTATAAAGAATATAGTATAGCAATATATCTTCACATACTTATCAATACGTGATTCTTAGTGTGATACATTCTTTAGATAGATGTTTTGTTTTAGAGATACTTTGTTGTCATGTGTAGATATATTAATGATATTAATATAATATAGATACACAAATATATAATGTTAATATACATTCATGCAATACTTATTAATATATTTTTAGTATATATTCTTTAGATATATCCTTAATATATAGATTGTTTGCTGTCATACATAGATATATTAATATTAACACACCGAAGATCTGCCAATAATATATTAATGTATAATTATTTATGATATATAAATATATAATATAATATATAATAATATATTCATGAATACTTACTGATACATGATTGCTAGTCTGATGTGTTCTTTAGATTGATATAATTTGGTTTCATAGATATGTTGTTTGTTGTAATGCATTGTTGTATTATAAATATTAATACAGTATAGACAAATAATGTATTATACTAATATTACACATTCTTGTAATGCTTTTTGTGCTGTATTTTTATAGAGCTTATTGTGCTATATCTTTAGAGATATATTATTTATATAACTCTTGTTCATTATAATGTATAGATATATTAATATTAATATTGTAGTATCTTTTAGAGAATATTTCCCAATATTAGACATCCATGCAATGCTTATTAATGTATGCATGTCTGTGTGCATATATTATTTTATGAAAATATAGTTTTTATGTAGCTGTGCTATGTATTGTAATGTACAGGTATATTAATATTAATATACTAATTAATATTAATATTAGTACTCTAAGAGCTATTTGGAGAATATTTCATAATATTAGACATCCATGCGATGCCTACTAATGTATGCATGTCTGTGTGCATATATTATTTTATGAAAATATAGTTTTTATGTAGCTGTGCTATTTATTGTAATGTACAGCTATATTAATATTAATATACTAATTAATTAATATTAGTACTCTAAGAGCTATTTAGAGAATATTTCCCAATATTAGCCATCCCTGCGATGCCTACTAATGTATGCTTCTGTGTGTGCATACATTATTTCTGTGGAGACACACTGTTTCTCCACAGCTGTGGTGTTTGTTGATTGTACTGCACGCCACATTGGTATTAGCACACTGTAGAGAGAGGGAGTGTACCCCACCCGTGTCGCACACTGGAATTGCCACCCCGTTTGCAGCACTGTGGCCGAGACGGTGCTGGTCCTGCACACCATCGTACACTTAGCAATTGCACAGCACCCTGAGCACGGCGCGCCCTGCGGGTGCCTTTGCCGTGGCTCACACGGCGTCTTTAGGCAGCACCTAGTGTGAGCTGTGGGTGAGCTGTGTTTCCGTAGCGTGCACTGGTTGGTGTGGCCGAGCTGCTTCTCGGGATGCACCCCTGACACTACTACACCACGGCTACCTGAAGCGTGCACACCAACGCCGTGTGCTTACGGAACACCAGCACGCGGATTTCTAGCCTGCAAAGAAGACCTCTGGTACTGCCCGTGAGGCTGTCACTCACGGACACGCGGGCATCCAGGGTTCCACTCGGAAATACACTTTTGGGTCGGTCCTGCGCCCTCGGGGTACGCACGCCTGGCTTCGGCCACCTCAGACTGGACTTTTTAAAATTGCATTTGCACTGAGCACGCAGAGACACTGTCTGCTGGCGTCCTCTGAAGGATGGAGTCTAACCCGGCTCACCCGGCCCCGCCGTGCGTTAGGAGTGGCAGATGCCCAGCACGGTGGGCATGTGCCAGCTTCGCCTGTTTACACAGTGGCTACGTGCAGAGGGCTGTGCCTCCTCTGAACCGTAAACGCGTGCAAATCTATGCACACAGCACACTAAAGCACGCAGATACGCAAGCACAGCACAGCAGCGCTGGCCTGATGTCTCTTCCCGGGTGGACACAGCTGCAAAGACGCCGATCACGAAAAATACTCAGAGATGTTTTTAAATAAGCACAAGGCTCGTTGCCTAGAATACATATTTTTTGTACCTGGATTTGAACTCGGGACCTTTGCACTTGCCAGGCAGGCGCTGAGCTAAATCCCCAGCGCCTCGAACATTTTAGATGCTGGAGAATTTCGGAGGACTCGGGACCTTTGAGCTAGCTGTATCTCAAATACATAATTACGGATGAAATGCATGTAACATGCAGTATTTTACTATATTACTAAATTGATATATTAATTATTAATATATTACTGTGTCATAGCATATGAAAACCAGCAAATATATGAATATAACAAGCATCATAAAAATAATATATGCAAGGGGCTGAGGATTTAGCTCAGCGGCATAAGCGCCTGCCTTGCAAGCGCGTGGTCGTGAGTTCGATCCCTGGTACTAATTAAAAAAAATAATGTATGCAAACTACAATATAATAGCTGTGTAAATTCCACAGTATAAAATACAGACACGTGCAAATTAGAAATAAATGGAACAGAAATTATGTTTCTATGAGGTAATATTATCCTGTGCGGCACACTGTGGTCCTATTACGGTATAATTATTATATAATATTATAACTTATATTTCGTGTTAGGTTGTATATTTCATATCTAATGAATGACATTCCCTTGTAACTTTATTTCGATGGGAATTATACAGAAAATAAACACAGAAAAATAAACACAATGACCATCAATAAGCACTAAATATAACATAAAAATTTCTATATTCCACTAAACACGTGACTCATTTATATGAAGTACATTTGAACAGATCATATTTCAGCTCAGTTTGTTGGACTGAGTATTTATGAGGTCCCTACGAGTTGCGAGGGGCTGGACACCTTTTAATGTAATTGTCAGAGAATTACTGCTCTCTGTCTCTCTCTGTCTCTGTCTCTGTCTCTCTCTCTCTCTCTCTCTCTCTCTCTCTCTCTCTCTCTCTGTCTCTGTTGACCGCAGGACCTTTGAACTAGCTGTATCTCAAACGCTTTTTGCTTTTCATTCTGCAACGAGCCTTCCCTAACTCTCCAAGTGGCCCTGACTGCCGTCCACCCTGAGGTCCTCCCGCCTCGGCCTCCCCCGGTGCGGGGACACCAGCCGTGCGCCACGACACACTTTCCGTCCTTCCCCTCGGGGCCGTCTAGGAGGAGGCGGCCGGTACCTACCCACCATCCAGTCCATCTCCTCCACGTTGTCGCCGTACGATCCGAATTTGCTGTGTCCCACAAACCGCTCCCGGGTCACGAGCGGGATCCGCACGTGCAGGAAGGAGAAGAGGAGGAGGAAAGGCTCCCGTTTGTACCTGCGGGCACACAAGGCGGGCGCCGTTAACCCCAGACGGTGCCACCCGGAGATTCTGAAGTCCGGGTGGAGACCTGCTTGCCCTGAACAGACTAGTTTTCGGGGTCTGTGTTAACGAATACCATCCAAGGCTGGGCACGAAGATTTAAATAAATACACAACACGCCACTGGCAGGCAGGGCTCACTTTCCCTTCTTCCGGTTTCACTATGCCTGGGACTCAAGCGTGATGGCTGGATCTGCGGCAACCGTTTTGGGCCCATAGGCAATGCTGTTGTGTCTTTAATTTGGAGGCCAGGGAAGGCGTCCAGCGCCTCGGGCACCGCAGGCGAGAGTCCCACCTGCCCCGGCCCCTCCTGGAAATGACCTCAGCCCGGGCACTTTGCACCCCACACCAGCTCAGAGGGTCAGAGCGTGGACCAGGATGGGGTACCTGTCTATGAAGCCGAGCGCCTCCCGCAGCAGCAGGGAGGAGACCCGGTCTGGTTTCAGGGGCTGCTGCACGACGGCGTGGTTCCTCATGAGGACGCAGTTCCAGCGCCGCACGAAGCCGTAGCTGGAGAACCAGCCCAGGAAGAAGAGCAGGACCAGCAGGGCGGAGAGCAGGATCGCCGTCCAGGGCACCGGGACCCAGCCGCGCAGCCGGGGCACCAGCAGCAGCACGGGCAGCAGGCCCAGGGCCGCCGTGGACACCCACAGCCTGACCCGCAGCCAGCGGTGCAGCTCGGGGTGCCCGGCGCCCCGGCAGTCCCCGAGGAGGCCCAGCGGCGTGCCGTAGAAGTACTCAAAGCCGTGGTTCAGCGGGTGATAGCAGTGGTCGTCCCGGGAGGCACAGCTCAGGCCCTGGTGCCATGTTCCTGGGGGACAGGGGATGCACAAACCCGCGTCCGGTCACCGGGCTTCGCCCTGCAACCCCAGACTGTGCAATCCCGGGGCGCCGGCTTTGGGGGACCCAACGGGAGTTCTAGCCGTGGGGGCCACATTTCCCCCATCGTGGGGCGCTCCGCGCATCTCCCTTGCTGGACAGGAAAAATGTCCTGCACCCAGAAAACACAGTTTGGTATCCAAAGACCACGTGGCCAGACGCCAGAGCACCCAGCTCGGGCGCAAAGCCGGGTGACCTGGTTCCCTGTCTACCCGGGTGCCGGGTTGGGGTGCATTTTGCACACGGGACCTCGAACCCACACGGACTGCCCACGTCCACCCCGCCCCTGGCAGAGAAGCCGGACTCCCCCCTGTGGAGCTGTCCCACAAAGGCCAGGTCCAGCCGGACAGGGAAGTTCCCAAGCGCCCCAGCACTCCGGCCCTGTGGGACCTGACACACAGCCGGGGCTCCCTGGGCTCCCCCATTTCCACCTGCTTATTGGGGGATGCGTAGACTCCCACCCTGACATTCCTTACTGGGGGATGCACACCTCTCCACCACCCCGGGTCCTTATAGGGGGATGCACCTCTCCATGCACCCCGGGTCCTTATAGGGGGACGCGCACCTCTCCACACACCCTGGGTCCTTATAGGGGGACGCACACCTCTCCACGCACCCCGGGTCCTTATAGGGGGACACGCACCTCTCCACACACCCCGGGTCCTTATAGGGGGACGCGCACCTCTCCACGCGCCCCGGGTCCTTACGGGGGACGCGCACCTCTCCACGCGCCCCGGGCCCTTATAGGGGGACGCGCACCTCTCCATGCACCCCGGGTCCTTATAGGGGGACGCGCACCTCTCCACGCGCCCCGGGTCCTTACGGGGGACGCGCACCTCTCCACGCGCCCCGGGTCCTTACGGGGGACGCGCACCTCTCCATGCACCCCGGGTCCTTATAGGGGGACGCGCACCTCTCTACGCACCCCGGGCCCTTAAAGGGGGACGCGCACCTCTCCACGCGCCCCGGGCCCTTATAGGGGGACGCGCACCTCTCCATGCACCCCGGGTCCTTATAGGGGGACGCGCACCTCTCCACGCGCCCCGGGTCCTTACGGGGGACGCGCACCTCTCCACGCACCCCGGGCCCTTATAGGGGGACGCGCACCTCTCCACGCACCCCGGGTCCTTACGGGGACGCGCACCTCTCCACGCGCCCCGGGTCCTTATAGGGGGACGCGCACCTCTCCACGCGCCCCGGGTCCTTACGGGGGACGCGCACCTCTCCACGCGCCCCGGGTCCTTACGGGGGACGCGCACCTCTCCATGCACCCCGGGTCCTTATAGGGGGACGCGCACCTCTCTACGCACCCCGGGCCCTTAAAGGGGGACGCGCACCTCTCCACGCGCCCCGGGTCCTTATAGGGGGACGCGCACCTCTCCACGCGCCCTGGGTCCTTATAGGGGGACGCGCACCTCTCCACGCGCCCCGGGTCCTTATAGGGGACGCGCACCTCTCTACACACCCGTCCTTATAGGGGGACGCGTACCTTTCCACTGTACCCCGGGCCCTTATAGGGGGACGCGCACCTCTCCACGCGCCCAGGGTCCTTACGGAGGACGCGCGCCTCTCCACGCGCCCCGGGCCCTTATAGGGGGACGCGCACCTCTCCACGCGCCCAGGGTCCTTACGGAGGACGCGCGCCTCTCCACGCGCCCCGGGCCCTTATAGGGGGACGCGCGCCTCTCCACGCACCCCGGGCCCTTATAGGGGGACGCGCGCCTCTCCACGCACCCCGGGCCCTTATAGGGGGACGCGCGCCTCTCCACGCACCCCGGGTCCTTATAGGGGGACGCGCACCTCTCCACGCGCCCCGGGTCCTTATAGGGGACGCGCACCTCTCTACACACCCGTCCTTATAGGGGGACGCGCACCTTTCCACTGTACCCCGGGCCCTTATAGGGGGACGCGCACCTCTCCACGCGCCCCGGGTCCTTATAGGGGGACGCGCACCTCTCCACGCGCCCCGGGTCCTTATAGGGGACGCGCACCTCTCTACACACCCGTCCTTATAGGGGGACGCGCACCTTTCCACTGTACCCCGGGCCCTTATAGGGGGACGCGCACCTCTCCACGCGCCCCGGGTCCTTACGGAGGACGCGCGACTCTCCACGCGCCCCGGGCCCTTATAGGGGGACGCGCACCTCTCCACGCACCCCGGGTCCTTACGGAGGACGCGCGCCTCTCCACGCGCCCCGGGTCCTTACGGAGGACGCGCGCCTCTCCACGCGCCCCGGGTCCTTACGGGGGACGCGCACCTCTCCATGCACCCCGGGTCCTTATAGGGGGACGCGCACCTCTCTACGCACCCCGGGCCCTTATAGGGGGACGCGCGCCTCTCCACGCGCCCCGGGTCCTTATAGGGGGACGCGCGCCTCTCCACGTGCCCCGGGTCCTTACGGAGGACGCGCGCCTCTCCACGCGCCCCGGGTCCTTACGGAAGACGCGCACCTCTCCACGCGCCCCGGGCCCTTATAGGGGACCGCGCACCTCTCCACGCGCCCCGGGTCCTTACGGAGGACGCGCACCTCTCCACGCGCCCCGGGTCCTTATAGGGGGACGCGCGCCTCTCCACGCGCCCCGGGTCCTTATAGGGGGACGCGCGCCTCTCCACGCGCCCCGGGTCCTTACGGAGGACGCGCGCCTCTCCACGCGCCCCGGGTCCTTACGGGGGACGCGCACCTCTCCACGCACCCCAAGAGGCTGCTTGCACGAGGCAAGCTTGAGGTCATGAGGCTCCGATACCCGGGACCGGAGACGGCAGCCTCTGTCACCGCCTTTAAATCCCAGGCTGCAGAGTCGGGGCTCAGACACCCCGCTGGCAACTCCCCAGCCAAGCATGACACGTGGCAGCCACTCGGTGGGCATCGCCACCATGCAGAAGGTGCCAAACCCCAGCAGGCTCGAATGCCTTGCAAAACCTTCCTGGATGATGCAAGAGGTGACACCCCAAACTCTAGCCGAGCGCCCACAGACCGCAGAAATAATCCACCAGGGACCCCCAAGGTGGCACCGCATTGCACACAGACACACAGACACACGCGCGGCTCGGGGACCTACCGATGAGTCCCGTGCGGTACCCACGGTGTTTGAGCAGCTCTGCGAACGTGGTCTCGTTGGTGGGGAGCCCGCCGGAGCCGGCCAGCCAGGGGAGGTCGCGGTTGGCGTTGGAGGAGGACGCCATGCCTGCAGGTGCAAAGGCACTGGGTCAGCACCTGGCCCGGTTCAGGGATCACACGGAGAAGACCAAGGCTGGCCCCGAGCGACTCCCGGCTCCTCCCCAAGGTCACAGTGGCCGGGAAAGGTCAGGGCTTCAGGTCCATTCGGGACGTGGAGGCGGCCAGGACGGGGCAGCTAACGACCCTGCACAGAGGACAGAGCACCCCGAGCTGCTGGCCACGGCTCGCACGGCCCAGGGACCCTTTTCCAGGAGCACGTCCTTCCCGGCTTGTGGGACTCGGGAGCTCTCGCCAAAGCCAGGAATCCTGGACAAGAAACTGCAGACGCCTTCCAAACCCCGGCCCAGGAGCTGCCGAGATTGCTGTGCTCGGAATACAAGGCGCCCCCAAAACACTCAGTGTGTTGAGGGCTTGGTTGATGATCGACCCGTCACCCGTCCACCATGATGTCCTGCCTCAGAGCAGCCGGCCATGGACTGCACCCTCTGCACCCCTGAGCCACACTGAGCTCCCTCTTTAAGCTGTGTTCTGGTCCCCGGCTCCTCCCTTCTCTCCCTGCTTCCCGGCCACCATGATGTGAGCGTCTCTCCTCCCCACACCGTCCACCATGATGCTCCCGCCTTGGAGCAGCCGGCCATGGACTGCACCCTCTGCACCCCTGAGCCACACTGAGCTCCCTCTTTAAGCTGTGTTCTGGTCCCCGGCTCCTCCCTTCTCTCCCTGCTTCCCGGCCACCATGATGGGAGCGTCTCTCCTCCCCACACCGTCCACCATGATGCTCCCGCCTTGGAGCAGCCGGCCATGGACTGCACCCTCTGCACCCCTGAGCCACACTGAGCTCCCTCTTTAAGCTGTGTTCTGGTCCCCGGCTCCTCCCTTCTCTCCCTGCTTCCCGGCCACCATGATGGGAGCGTCTCTCCTCCCCACACCGTCCACCATGATGCTCCCGCCTTGGGGCAGCCAGCCATGGACTGCACCCTCTGCACCCCTGAGCCACACTGAGCTCCCTCTTTAAGCTGTGTTCTGGTCCCCGGCTCCTCCCTTCTCTCCCTGCTTCCCGGCCACCGTGATGTGGGCGTCTCTCCTCCCCACACCGTCCACCATGATGCTCCCGCCTTGGAGCAGCCGGCCATGGACTGCACCCTCTGCACCCCTGAGCCACACTGAGCTCCCTCTTTAAGCTGTGCTCTGGTCCCTGGCTCCTCCCTTCTCTCCCTGCTTCCCGGCCACCGTGATCGGAGCGTCTCTCCTCCCCACACCGTCCACCATGATGCTCCCGCCCTGGAGCAGCCGGCCATGGACTGCACCCTCTGCACCCCTGAGCCACACTGAGCTCCCTCTTTAAGCTGTGCTCTGGTCCCCGGCTCCTCCCTTCTCTCCCTGCTTCCCGGCCACCATGACGGGAGCGTCTCTCCTCCCCACACCGTCCACCATGATGCTCCTGCCTGGAGCAGCCGGCCATGGACTGCACCCTCTGCACCCCTGAGCCCCATCAACCCTTCCTTGTTATTTTTGATGTTCTATGACACTGTTAGAATCCCACCCAACACAGGCCTCTGGCTCTGTAAGCCCTTCTTGTGCCATATTTTGCCCTTCTCAGCACAAGAAAACTTCTGTGGAAGGATGCTCTTGACCAAATCTCCAACTACAAACTCGTAGGTGTGACTTTTGAGAAGTTAGGAGGTCCAGGTCTCAAAGAGAAACCCGTCTGCACCTAGATCTTGATAAGTCTGCGTGATTGTTGTGGGAGTATTACGCAGCACTGAAAAGGGAACTCATTAGAATGGTAGCTGGTGTCTAGCACAGGTGAGGCCCCGGGATGGAGAGAAAGACAGAAAGATGGACGGAAGGAAGGGAGGGAGGGAGGAGAAGGAGGCCCAGGCCGACACACCTGCCCGGATGGGGTAGCGCCCGGTGAGGAAGGCGGCCCGGCTCGGGGTACACATGGAGGCAGCCGCCAGGTGCTGGGTGAGCCGCACGCCCTCCGCGGCCAGGCGGTCGATGTTCGGGGTGCTTCGGGAAACAAGGAGACATCAGAGGTCAGTTTCTAAACCCCAGAAGGACGCCCAGCCTTCCTAGGCGTCCATCTTGGGTTGGGGTCACCTGATTTCTGATCGACTCAACCGAATCCTTTTGGTTAAATCCTCGATGTCAGGGTGACGGTTTGGGGCAGCGCGGGGGGGGGGGCCGCGCCAATCCCCGGCCTCACACGGAAAGTTCCAGCAAAGCACATCCCACAGATAGATAGGTCGCGGGGCAGTCAACAACCCCGGCACTTTTTAGATGGTACTGAGACGGGGTCTCTAAGTCTCCCAGGCGGACTCGAAGCTGAGACCCTCCTGCCTCAGCCTCCTGGGTGGTCACTGAGCGCCTCCACACACACCGCCTTCCGCCAGGACAGGGACGTGGGTGGGGACACCGGGGGGCTCCCCGAGGGCGGGCGGCCTCCTGCCGTGTTTACCTCACTGTGTGATTACCGTAGCAGCCAAGGTCGCCCAGCCCGAGGTCGTCCGCCACGAGCAGCACGATGTTAGGCCTGGAGTTCGCCGTCACCGGCGCGGCCCGCGTCGGCCCGCAGCAGCAGCAGCAGCAGCAGCAGAGCAGAATCCAGAAGCCGCCGCAGCGACTGAGGGCGCTTGGGGGGGCCGGGGTGAGAGAAAACGCCAGATTAGTGCTGTGTTAGGTTTTGCTTTACCACATACCTGCCGGGGTTTGCTGAAAAGTCAGGATTTCTCTCCAAGGTCACTTTCTAGATTAGTTATGGCAGCCTCTTGGTCTTGCTTTCTTCCTTTCTCTCTCTCTCTCTTTCTTTCTTTCTTTCTCTCTTTGTTTCCTTCCATTGTCCTGCACACATCTCAAATTCACCTTCTTCGTGACTGTGTAGTACTCCTCCCTTCTTCCTAGCTGTGTAGTACTCCATTTTCTTTGTGCACGCCTCTGTGGATGGACACATAGGGGGCTCCCGAAATGTAGCTGTTGTGACCTGTGCCGCAGTAAACAGGGGTCCGCTTGGGTCGCTGTCACGTGATGGCTGCACTGTTTTGGAAGGACTCCTACAAGGGAAAAGTTGGCCCCGGCGGAATGTCTAGGTTTAGTCTTCTGTGGCTTCGCTCCACTGATTTGCTCAGCAGTTGCGCTGATTTTCACGCCCACTGACAGGGGAGAAGGGTTCTGTTTCCTCTGCAGGCCTCCTGGGTTTGATATTATTTTAGTTCTTCTGTGTTTCACATCATCCTGGTTTTCGTCTCCTTACTGTTCACTAATCCACATTTTCAGCGCAGACAGAGCACGTCCAGCATGGGCCTTTGCACACGTGCCATCCTCCTGGGAGTCTCAGCACAGGACGGGGATCCCTGCGGCTCTAGTCTGAGGCACCGAGCAGCAGGCACGATTTGCAGTCACAGAGAAGCATCCGCCGTGCGGCTGCGGAGTCGGCTCCCCCGCGGGGTGACCGTGCCCGCTTCGTGCGTGTGACAGCGGACACGGGCCTCGGGGCTCTGCGCGCCCTTCCCTCCACCCTTCCTTCCTTCCTTCCTTCTTTTTCTTATTTTTAAAGGAGTTTTGCAAAATGTCTGTCCAGGCTGGATCCACCTTGCACCCTCCTGCCTCAGCCTCCCCAGCGAGTGCCGGGATTGCAGCCTCGGCCCACCCGGCGGCCTCTGGTGGCTTCTTTGTGGTGTTTGTTTATTTTTGCATTTTGGTCATTTTCGTTTTGTTTTGTCTTTCTGAGACGGCGTCTCTCTGCACTGCAGGCTGGTCTCGAACTCACAGCACCCTCCTGCCTCAGCCTCCCCAGCGACTGCTGGGAGCACGGGCCTGCCCACCACGCCCGCTTCCCTTTGTTTTATTTTGTTTTGTTTTTTAGACAATCAGAACCTCCCGTGTTTGCTTTGGAAGCAGCACCCCGAACTCCCCGGGTGGAGCCCGAGACGGGAGCCCCGCGCTGCAGGCTCCTGCAGAGGCAGCTCTGGGAGGAGGACGTTGGGGTGCACTCGGTCCTGGGGTCGGGCACCGCGGGCGGCACTAGCGGGTCACTGAGCAGAGGAAGAGACGCCCAGCCGGCCCGTCTGTCCCCTCCTTGGGCTGTACCTGGATACCGGCCCCGAGGAGACCGTTAACTATCCGCACAGCCCCGGCCTCAGCGTGCACCAAGGGCTCCGGGCTGGAGGTTCTCCAGGCTGCAGGGTCCGTGGATTTCGGGGGAGAAGAGGCCTCGGGCTGCAGCCTGGTCCCCGGGTTCCCTGGCCCCGTGTCCACCCCGGAGCCGGGCAGCAGCGGGCGGCGGCAGCTGCTGGAAACTCCCCGGAGGATCCAGGACACCCCAAACCGAGGCCCGGGGTCTCACTCTGTGACCCCGAGACCCAGACCCAAACCAAGGGCCGCCGGCTCCCCAGCTGCAGCCTCCATGGCGGGAACCACCGTCCGGGGTCCAAACCCAGTGTCCAGTCCTGGGTCAGGGGGTGTCCACTCAGCCACACAGAGAGGGAAGGGGTGACCGAGGACAGAGCCACAGAGCAGTGGACAGACAGACGGACGGACGGGTAGATGGGTGAGACAGACAGACAGCTGGACGGGAAAAGACGGATGGATGGACAGACAGAGAGGAGGGACAGACGGGTGGACAGGTAGGGTGGACGGACAGATAGATGATAGATAGGGAGATAGGATGGATAGACAGACAGACAGAAAGATAGACAGACAGACAGACAAATAGATACATAGGATGGATAGACAGACACACACATAGATAGATACATAGATAGGATGGATAGACAGACAGGATGGATAGACAGAAAGATACACAGACAGACCCACAGATAGATAGATAGATAGATAGATAGATAGATAGATAGATAGATAGACAGACAGATAGATAAGATGGATAGATAAAAAGAGGGAGGATGTATAGATAGACAGACACACACATGGATAGGATGGACAGACAGATAGATGTAGAGATGCATAGACAGACAGAGGGGGGACGGACGGACAGACAGACCACACTTCGGAGGGGACAGACGGCTGATCGGTCATCGGTGGGTGGCGGACACACACACGGACGGAAGCACAGACCCCGCGGGGTGAGGGTCCCGGGCACGCTCTGTCCTCCCCGCACACGCGCACACACACGTGCACACGCACATGCACACACACACCACGAGTGTGCACGCGTCCGCGACTCACCAGGCACAGCACGGCCGCCGCATGGCTCCTCACTTTGCTCCTGCGGGAGAAAAGAACAAACTGACACCCTGACGGACGGGGGCGCGGCCGGCCGGTGCTGCCGCCTGGTCCCGCACGCAGGAGGGAGGCTGAGGCAGGACGGTCTCGGGAGGCTCGAGCGCTGCCGCGTCTACACAGGCCCGTCTCGGAAACAGAAGACGGATGAAACCAAAGCTAGCGAATCCCGCCCTGTCCTTGGCCAGCCATGGTGCCAAGCGCTCACGGGAGTCACGCTGACCCGCTCTCCCCCTCGGCCCAGCGGCACACAACAGGCTCGGGCCAGAGAGCGCGAGACACAGCCGCAGGGCGGGTCCTGCCCTGGACTCGGGGTCGCTCTCCTGGCAGGGTTCCGAGAGTTGACTGACCCCACAACAAACTCCCCATGCACTGGAGACCGGGTAAAAAAAAGTAACCAATAACCGAGTCCCGGGTGCAGGGCCACATTGGTTTAGAGAGAGACGATGCACACGTGCCTCCCTGAAAAGGCAGAAAATAAACCAGCAGCCACAAGCCCCGCAGATTGGTGGGGACGCACTTCACATGGGGGAGGACGCCAAGTAGGCAGCACACTTGCTCATCGGCAGATGGAGGCGTAAGCAACATGGCATCACACCGTGGAATACTACTCAGCCCTGAAAAGGGACGGGCGGAGTCCCATTAGGAAGCCGAGTGCACCTCCAGCCCACCATGTGCAGTGGAATAAAACATGCTCGGGCTTCGCTGTCACGTGGCTTCCTGCCATGAGAAACACACAGTGTAAAAGAGCAACATAAATATAGAAAAGGAAACACTGACACGGGTCAGCTGCAGACTCAGGGCGTCTACATTCCTAACGCAGTTCCGCACCCCTATCCACAGCAGGGCTCCCCAATGTCTCCCCTGGGGGTCCCCAAGGCTGGCTGGAGGCTCCCACTTGGTGCAGCAGGAAACTCCAGGGCTCTGTGCTGAAATTTGCACCTGGCTGTGTCTCTCTCTGTCTCTGTCTCTCTCTGTCTCTGTCTCTGTCTCTCTCTGTCTCTGTCTCTGTCTCTGTCTCTTGGTCTCTCTGTGTCTGTGTCTCTGTGTCTCTGTGTCTCTGTCTCTGTCTCTCTGTGTCTCTGTCTCTGTCTCTCTGTCTCTCTGTCTCTATCTCTCTGTCTGTGTCTCTCTGTCTGTCTCTGTCTCTGTGTCTCTGTTTCTGTCTCTCTATGTCTCTGTGTCTCTGTCTCCGTCTCTCTGTGTCTCTGTGTCTCTCTCTGTCTCTGTCTCTGTCTCTCTCTGTCTCTGTCTCTGTCTGTCTCTGTGTCTCTGTCTCTGTGTCTCTGTCTCTGTCTTTCTGTCTCTGTCTTTCTCGTCTATCTCTTTCTCTGTCTGTCTCTATCTCTCTGTCTCTCTGTCTCTGTCTCTCTGTCTCTCTGTCTCTATCTCTCTGTCTGTGTCTCTCTGTCTCTCTCTGTCTCTGCCTCTCTCTCTCTGTCTCTGTCTCTGTCTCTCTCTGTCTCTGTCTCTCTCTGTCTCTATCTCTCTGTCTGTGTCTCTCTGTCTCTGTCTCTCTGTCTCTCTGTCTCTCTGTCTCTCTCTGTCTCTGTCTCTGTCTCTCTGTCTCTCTGTCTCTCTGTCTCTCTCTGTCTCTCTCTGTCTCTGTCTCTGTCTCTGTCTCTGTCTCTCTCTGTCTCTGTCTCTGTCTCTCTCTGTCTCTGTCTCTGTCTCTGTCTCTCTCTGTCTCTGTCTCTCTCTGTCTCTGTCTCTGTCTCTGTCTCTGTCTCTCTCTCTGTCTCTGTCTCTGCAGAGGAAACCCACATGGCACCGTCACGCTCCCACCGACAGCCCAAGAAGATCGAGTGACACTCCCTTTGCCCCATGAAGTGAGTCAGTCAGCGACCCGGCAGGAAGGAGCACCACTGCATGCACACGCGTCCCTGTCAGTGAAGACGCCGACGCCCGGCCGGGGCTGAGTGCAGTCAGGTCTCAGCGCTGGGTCTCTGGCACCCGGGACCTCACGCTGTGGCTGGACTCGGAGGCAGAACCTTCACAGGGGTCAGTAAGGTAAACTGAGTCCCAGGGTGACCTCCTGCCACCCGTGACCTCAGCCCCGGGACGCGGGTGTGGGCGGTGTCCACAGTGGAGGTCACCGGGTTGTGTGCGGGTGACGCTCACTGACTGACTATAAAACAGATTAATACGGCGAGCTGTAGCAGGGCACTGGGGCCAGCAGGTTACAGAGGAGCAGGAGGTGCAGACTGACAGCGACTGGCAGGCGGGCGCATGGTGCCCGCTGTGAAACAAAAGGACCTGGGGACGATTAGCCCTTCTGACTGAAGGCCACCTGGCCCAGCTGCAGCTGACAGGAAACCACCTTCTGCTTCTGCTAAACCACTTGTCAGGCGAAGACGCTTGTAAACTGAATATTTTCTCTTTTTCTGTAGGATGGAGCTCGGGTGTCCGCCTTGGGACCCATCCCAGGCCCTCGTGTGCAGCCCGAGACGGACAGACAGATCTGACTCGGGTTCCGCGTGGTGCAGGCTGAGCTGGAGTGTGCAGCCTTCCTGCCTCAGCCTCCCCGAGGGCACAAACGCACCGGCACGCTTGGCGCTCGGGTACCCAGAATTACCCCGGGCTGCGGCCCAGCCCTGGAGCTTCTGCTTAGGAATAAACAAACAAACAAATTCCTCGAGGAACGCAAAGACCCGGGATGATATCCTGGGCAGGCTTGAGTACCCCACGTGAGCTCCATGGGTCGCTGTGATTCGTGGACATTAAAAATAAATTAAATTAAATTAAATTAAATTAATAAATACAATAAAATGATGCTGGGGGGCATCGTGTCGAAATAAAACCCAGAATACCCACCCTCTGAAGAGGAGAGGTTAGACAGGACAGCTATTCACTCATCAAGCCTTCAGAGAAACAGCTATTCACTCATCAAACCTTCAGAGAAAAATAAGATAGCTCTGTGCATCAGAACAGAGATGGGTTCCCAAACATGGGGTTCCAATAAAAACATAAATTGAGAACCCCAAAAGTGTCAACTGTCACGGTGGAGGAGGCAGACAGGAAGAAGGGGTGGGGGACGGAGGGCGAGGCTCCAGCCCGGGATGCAGCCCCGTGTGTCAACCGAACTCATTAAAAAAATAAGAGAAACAGGAAAATAAAGGGAATAAATAAAATGTCTAAAACTCCGTGTACGCAGAGGACGCAGGGTGCTTCCCCCTGTCGGGCAGCGGCAGCCGCTGCACAAATCGGTGCACGTTCCTCACAACACTAACCTACAAACTCCACAGGAGGCGTCCGTCCCCTCTATGTGCTGTCCCAAGGGAATTAATGACAGCGGGTGACGGCGATCGCGCACACCCCGGTTTTCAGCAGCTCGGCTCGGCCACACGGCACCATCTTGGAAGCCGCCTGCACCTCCATCCTCAGACAAAGGAGATGTGGTGCTGACCTGCCGTGGAGTACTACACAGCCCTGAAGAGGGATAAACTTGAGTCCCATGTGGAGAAACAGATGAGACGGGGGTGGTGCGGGGGTAAGGGAAGTTAATCAGATGCAGGATCTTCACCATGGCGGGCTGTCCATCAGATGACAGACCCAAAGCAGAAATAGTCTGAAGGGTAAATTAAAGGACAGATGAATCCAAGTACAAAGGTAGGTGTTGCCCAGACAGGGAGGGAAACCGAGGCTGTGCAGAGGTGCGGTGAAGCACTAACGCCATTCATTTACCAGGATTCTGCATCAGCGTGAGTCTCGGCATCACTGGGGAGTTTGACTCGCAGGCTCCTACGCAGCCCACGCTGCCCTGAACTCACGGTGGTCCTCCCGCCTCAGCCTCCCGGGCGCCGGATGACAGGTGAGCGCCACCACGCCGGGCTAAACCACGGCCTCTGAGGGACAGACACGGACGCCCGCTGCCCGGCCGGCCGGCATGGGGGGCGCAGCCTGTAATTCCACAAGGGCGCCCGCGACCCGGGCGCACCCAAGCAGTAATTACCTTTATGAGATCTTTCATCTCGAGGACCGGGCAGCCGAGTGGGCATTACCTCCACCTCTGCACGGCTGCTCCGCCAGACGGGCGGCAATTATATCAGCACCCCAAGTTTACGAGGGCAAAGTGGGGCGCGGGGACACGGTGCCACCTCGGGTCACCTGGTAACCCGAACGTGACCTCACCAGGAGCAAAGCCCACTTCTGGGGTGCAGCATCGGTGCACAGGACAGGCACCCCCTTCCGCCCAGGCGTGTACCCCAAAACTGTGCACCCCCACACAGGCTGCAGGGCTTCTCGCAGGGTCTGAGCACCGAGACGCGCTGTTAGGGCTGTCAGGGTGTCACGGGGAAGCCAAGAGCCGGCGCCAGCCGGTCAGGGCTGCTCTCAGGCTGCAGGGCATGCAACGGGCTGGCCGGCCGCACCTCGAGGGGCTCCTGCTGCAGGGCTGAGACGGGACGGGGCACACGGGTGCACAGAGGGGGGCACAGAGGGGTGCAGAGAGGGGTGCACAGATGGACGGATGGATAGATAGACAGAGAGACAGATAGAGGAGCAATATGTATGCACATGCATAGGGCGGAGGGGAAGACTTAGGTAAGAAAGATCAATGAATTGATGGATGGATGGGTGGACGGATGGATGGATGGGTGAGTGGATGGATGGATGGATGGATGGATGGGTGGGTGGACGGATGGATGGATGGATGGATGGGTGGATGGATGGATGGGTAGATGGGTGGATGGATGGATGGGTGGGTGGGTGGATGGATGGTTGGATGGATGGTTGGATGGGTGGGTGGATGGGTGGATGGATGGATGGATGGATGGATGGATGGATGGGTGGATGGATGGATGGATGGATGGATGGATGGATGGATGGATGGGTGGATGGATGGATGGGTGGATGGATGGATGGATGGATGGATGGATGGATGGATGGGTGGGTGGATGGATGGATGGATGGATGGGTGGGTGGATGGATGGATGGGTGGATGGATGGATGGATGGATGGATGGATGGATGGGTGGATGGGTGGATG